CTCTCTCTCTCTCTCTCTCCTTTCTTTTTGAACTGGTAGTCATCGCTTTTGAACTTCTCGTCCCTGGACCGGTGACGTCAACCGCCAGCATCCGCGCGCGCGGTCGACACTCCCGCGACGGGGAAGAGAACTTAGATTTCATCATCTTCTTCCGACGCACTAACCTTGAGAGAGAAGGGTTGCATCGAGTGTTGTATGGGGACGGTTTTGGTACGGATGACCGGGAGCGCGGGGTCTGGCCCGTGTTCATCACCTTCCTCCGATCGTTCCCTCTCGCTCCCGGCCTTTCCCATCGCAGATGACGACGGCGTCTATTGCGATGGGGATGTACGGCGCACTTTGAGTCGAACGAATCAAGTCTGTTGGCGAGATCCGCCCCGTGCGTTTAATATTAGGGGAGACGGGTTCGTCTTAATTGATCGTTTCGATTCCCCGACTCTAATATTGCCTTATATGGATTTGACTGTGTTGCCCTGGTCGGCCGCTCACGCCACGTGGCGGCCGCAGTTTGATTGTCGCTGGTGTCGCCAGGGGGACTCGTGTTCTTGGCGACCACTGGTCCTGGGTTACGAGGGAGCGGCACGTTTCCCTGGGCTCTCCCGTAATGCGGGGGCGCTGCCCGCGCAATTTCGAATTCAGGTGCCGGCAAGTTCTCTCGCCGCTTCACTCTCTCAGGAACTCCCGCGCGGACTTTGTGAGTCTGACGCCGAGGCTTGAAGGCCTCGAACCAATCACTTATACAACGAAAACCCGACGGCCCGGTCTTCGGTCCTTAGCCATTGTGGCCTCCTCCCCCTGCTTCCCCTCTTCATTTTGATTCACTGCGGCAGTTCGTCGTTGCGGAACTATTCGGCTTTCGTTACCTTGGGCTGACCCGACCTCCACGGGACTCAGTGGCGAAAGATCGATCCCAGGATAACCTCTGGTTCGAAACGAGAGTCTCCCGTTCCGACCGGGAGACTGAACCCCTACAACCCAAAAATCCTCGGCCACACCCCTCCTATAACTCTGATCGGCGACCCGGTACGGGAAGCCGCGAGGGGGCGTGAGGTTGGTATTAGAGCTGATTCGTTTCGGCTCCGAGGTTTTCCTAGGACGATTACCCTGTTTAAGAGTTTTTCCTTTTTGATTTTTTTTTTTAGATTTGTTTCACTTTTGAGTAGGTTGGCTCCCCGTCGACGGCGGCCCGCGAATAGTAATCAGAACCGAGCGAGAGGCCGGGCTCGAGATCCGCCTCCCGCGATGGTGGAACCCGGAATTGGGGTGGAAACGGAGGCGATAATCACGCCGTGATGGCCAATCATCCCCTGTATTTTGTACCTCCTCCCTCCGAAGTTCCCATTTTCTCTGAGGATGATACCGACCCTCGCACCTGGCTAGCCGCCTTGTAAGCCCAGGGCTGGTCAGACCAGTTGCTCCGAGAACGAATCCCGGGTAGGTTAACCGGAACCGCTTTTGAGTGGTATGGGCAGAACCCCTACACTAATTGGCTAACCTTCCAACAAAAGTTTCTCGAGCGTTTCGATCACATCGCACCCAGGTAGTGCCTTCGTCTGATAAAAGAATATACGCAGCAGCCTCGGGAAACCTTGGCCAGATATGCAGAGGGGTTTAATTACTTAGCCGAACGCTCCGGGGTCGATGAAAAAATGATGCGGACTGATTTCGTTAGGGGACTGTCCGATTCTCGCTTGCGGAAGAAGATCCGCAAGAAATGCAACCCGATAGAACACACCCTGACCGAGCTCATTCAGTATGCCATTAAGTACGGGAAGGAAAATTACGATGTAGGTCTGGATTCAGAGTCCGACGAAGACGACCCTTCGGGTGTCCGACGCCATAGCTACTCCGCTACGGCGCGAATGTTCGAGGATCGCTTCGGGTTAGGACCGGCGAAGAAAAATTCGGATCGGAAAACTTCGTCTTCCGCGTCGACCTCCCGACGCTCTGGTCAAGCTCCAGGGGGTCGGAACGAGGACGAAATATCAATGAAAGAGGTCGCGGCTCAGCTGGTCACGGTAGTGGCCCCGCTGACGGAATTCATTCAAAACTTGCAGCGGCAACGGGTGGCAGCTGTGCAACGACAGCAAACCGCCATGGCCGCCGGTACCCCTATGGCCCGACCAGCCGCAGCAGGAGTCGCCCAGCCTCTACGGTGCTACAACTGCAATCAGTCGGGCCACCTTGCGAAAGATTGTCCGAAACCTCGAACTCAAAGTGGGCCCGGGGGGCCCACCGGACCTTCCCAAATCCCGTTGGCTGCTTCGACCGCTGCAGGACAAGGGAGGGTAGCCACGGTGATGGATACTGGGACAACGGAAATGGTGGCCCGTGCGGCCACCGAGATAGGACCCGATAAGTACATGGCTGCGGCGATGTTCGAACCCGGGACCATTGGAGTGATACATCACGTCCAAAGGATTACCGAGGAAAGCGACCTCGGGCCTTGGCGTCCGGGGTTCGAAGATCTCATGGCCCCTGGCCCTGAGTACAAAGATGGTCACATCGACGTGTTGGATGCATTGAAGGCGCTGGATCTACGGGTCCCCGTCCCTATTCCCTATCTGCTAACCATTTCCGAAGCGGCTAACGAAAAGTTGATCGAACGATGCCTCAAAAACAGGCGCCGATTCGAGGAAAGTCGAAAGGGCGAAAAGCCGGTCCTACGAGACCTACCCACAAACGAAGAGTCACAGCCCTCGACCTCAAAGGTGCACGAAGCCAACCGGGTAGGAATGATCCAGACCGTAGATCCTGCCTCGGAAAAGCCTGAGGTATTCCTCCGAGCCTATCCTATAACCTGGAAAAGCGTTGAGTGTGACTGCGAGGTCTAGGGAAACCCCTCGGCCGCCATCCTAGACTCGGGATCGTCAGCGGTCGCCATTTCTTGGAGATTGACGAAACGATTGGGAAGGGAAGGACAGGTTCAGCCCCTCCGACCGGATGAACTGTATATATCTGCTACTACGGACAACATTCATTGTAAAGGGCGGATAACGAACGTGCCTATACGGGTGGGGCGGGTGCATTGTTTGTGCGACGCAATCGTACTGGATGTGCAGGCGTATGATGTTCTGCTAGGCATTCCGTGGCAGGCGGCGGTCGGAGCGCGAATGCACTTTGACAGCTTCAAGGTGGTGCTCACATCGGCCCACCCCAAACCACAAACGATACCGATGAGATTGGCGGTGCGTATGCGCACCCAGCCGACGCCTCGAATCACCACGAAAGCCCATCAAATCAACATGATTCGACGTCTGTCACCAGGCGAAAATGAAACTTCGTCGGAAACTGACGAGACTGATGTACCCGACCGATATCCGATCCGGGTTCAGGATTGGTGGCGCCATTCCTGGCGACGAGAACCCCTGGAAATAGTTCGGAGCGAGTCCGATTGGTTGCACGCATTCTCCTCCGTGGTGCAGGGAGAACCCCTGCTGAGAGTGTCGCGAATAACTGACCTTTCGGAAGCCCTTGCGTCCTTATATCTTAGAACGGACCCCCTACTCGAAAGGTTTACGGAGCTCAGGGGGTTGTGCGATTCAACTTTTCGGCCTCCCAGGCCCCTGCTTACAAACGCAAAAGCCGCCCTGCTCTTGAAGGAAGGGGTGTCATTTCAACCCCGGACGAGGGAATATCGATGGAGGCCAAAGGAACTGATACAGGCCTTTTCAGTGGAACCCTCGGCTGAAACCGAGCTCGAGGACGACAGTAATATGGAAAATGAACCGATAAGCCCAGCAGACAGTCAACTTATCGCGACCGTGCTTTCGGCAAAAACCGACAATTCTCTGTTTGGTGCCTCACCCGAAGCCAACGCGGCAGTCCCCATGGTTACGTCGACGATCTCCCTCCCTGAGGGAAACGTGGACGTCCGGCTGCCGGCCCATGTGCCTGACGACTACAAACACCTTCTTTTGGCAGTTATACGGGCCTACCCAGAGGCCGTCAGTATCCAGGACCACGATATAGGACTTACCCACCTGATCCAACACGCGATTGATACCGGTGACAGTGCGCCGATACATTGCCGACCGTACCGTTATTCCCTAAAGGAGAGACAGCTGGCCCTGGAAAGGGTACGGGAGTTCGAGCGGTTGGGGTGGATTGAACCATCGCTTGGACCGTGGTCGTTTCCCGTGGTCCTCGTGCCGAAACGAAACGGTTCAGTCCGAGTGTGTATTGACTACCGCAAATTAAACGCTATTACTACCAAAGATGTCTATCCGCTGCCACGGATTGACGATCTGTTGGATGCTATCGGGTCCGCTCGGGTCTTTTCGAAGTTCGATATCCGACACGGTTTTCACCACTTCGCAGTCCGGCCGGAAGACCGGCCCAAAACCGTTTTTGTCCTGTTCGAGGGCACGTGGCGGTGGATCCGGTGTCCCATGGGAATTTGCAACGCCCCCGCAACATTCCAACGGGCCATGAATATGGCCTTCGCCGAATTCGTTAACAAAACTCGTTTGACACAGCCGTTGATAATTTTTTGTGTGATTGTGTACATGGATGACATTTTGGTCTTTTCCAAAACCTACGAGTACCATGTGGAACATGTCGAATGGGTGTTGCATGCGTTGAAAGATGCGGGGTTCAAAGTGGCTCTGGAGAAAAGCGAGTTCTTTCTGTCCGAAATTTCCTTTTTGGGCTACATCGTCACGGTCGAGGGACTGAAACTGGATCCCAGGAAGGTAGCAGCGGTTCGAGAAGCCCCGGCCCCGGTCACGCTCACTGAGGTTCGAGCCTTCCTAGGGCTGGCCTCTTATTATCGACGCTTCATTCGGAGCTTTGCCTGCCTCGCCAAGCGCTGACGAACCTGCTGAAGAAGGAGCAACTGATCTGGACGCCGGAATGCGAGGCGGTGTTTCGGGCACTCAAGGAGGCTCTGACATCGGCCCCCGTGTTGGCGTGTCCCGATCCGACAAGACAGTTTGCGCGGCATACCGACTGGCAGCCGCAGGCGATATTGGCGGTGCTGACTCAACAAGGAACGGATGGAAGGGAGCACGTCATCGAGTATGCGTCGAAAACGCTAAGTCAGGCGCAGTCAAACTACGAGGCGTGCGAGGGTGAGTGCTTGGCGGTGGTGTGGGGGGTTCAGCACTTTCGACTGTATCTGTACGGCCAGAAGTTCGTGCTCGTGACGGATCATCAGCCATTGCTATCGTTGCGGAACAACACGGACTACATGGGTACCTTGGGAAGGTGGGCGGTGAGATTGCAGGACTACGACTTCGACATCCGCCACTGCGCCACCAGGCAGCACGGGAACGCCGATGGTCTGACGCGCCTCCAGCCGCCGAACAAGAGTCCCGCGAACGAAAAGCTCATCCCGTGGAAGCTTATTTCGCCTTCGACGGAACCCGACTACGGGGAGGTGAATGTCCTCCGCAAGGGTACTGCAGCAATCGGAGATGGCGATCTCCCATGAGGAGGCCACCACCCCTTCTCTCCTGCCCTATTCTTTAACCCCCTCTCCTGACCCCGACTCCCCTCCGAGCACGCCTTCCCAAATCTGTTTCTTCTGCACCTTGCCCATGATACCGGCAGGGGGAGATCCTCCTCTCGAGGGGCCTAGCTTTCTTCCCTGGGTACAATGTAGTCAATGTCACATCGTCCGGTCCCACGGGAGTTGTGCCCGGTATCGGAATGAAAAAAGTTGGAACTGTCCCAACTGTCGAACSGACCACGTACCTACKGAAAAACRGTATMTAGAAGCYWGAACGGCAKACGGATTTTTGCCAAGCGTCCGCCGAGCGGAAGTCTGGACGGATCTTCTGCTATTACGGAGACTGACAGGCGACCCGCTGACGGAACTTACCAAGGCTGAACGGCGACGTGTCACGGAACGGGCGCACGATTACCGCTGGCAGGGATCCGTCCTTCAAAAACAAAAAGATGATGACGTTGACGGATCTAGTGGGCTGACGGTTCCACACCCACAGGCCAGCTTCGATTGGACACGAGCCGCCCACGAGGAGGATGCGGTCCACTTTGCAGTCAAATACACGGAAAAAGCAATAGAGAAAAACGGATGGTACTGGTCAGGAATCCGGGAAGATGTGAAATACATCGTCCGGACTTGCCTAGCCTGCGTGGCCGGTAAGGCACCGATACAGATGCCCCGTACAATAGTGCCTACCTGGGTAGAGCGCCCCTTCCAACGGGTCAGTATCCATACGACGGACATCAACGTGCCGAGAGGCCCTGTTGATCAAGGAGAACTCAATGTCCTTCTTGTAGTCGTAGATCATTTTTCGGCGTACCCAATGACCAGCCGGAACTCGCATGAAGTAGCCTGGTACATTAATCGTTTTTTGTGCATGCACCTGGACGTAGAAGAGATACATATGGACAATGGATCCGAGTTCCAGGGGGAAGTAGAGCGACATCTTGTAAGGGCAGACGTTAGAATTTCATACTCCCCAGGGCACTGGCCTCAAGCCAACGGGCTCGTAGAGAATGCCAACCGAATGATCAAGACTGCACTTAGACGAAATATCATGGCAGGTGATACCAGGCCCTGGCCTGTCATAGTCGACCACATTTTGGCCGTCTATCGGGCTACTCCCCATGGGAGCACCGGGGTGTCCCCGTTCCAACTGAGAACCAATAGCGTCCCCAGAGTGCAGTTGTCACCTCTAGTGGGTACGGAAGTTAGAGTGACCCGGGCCCAGCACAAGGACAAGGCCCAACATTACCTGGATCTGATGGCCCGGACCTATCCTGCGTTAGCCCGAAGACGACAAAGGGCCATAGATCTGACGCATCAACGGCAGATCTAGGACTATGAGAACCGACACGCGACAGTGGGACCAATGCCCCGTTATAAAATCGGGGACTTGGTGCAGGTACGGAAATCTGCGCGCTCCTCCAAGATCCACCCACGCTATACCGGCATTTACGAAGTGACGGAAGTTGGCGCACGAGGACAGCACTCTGTGAAGCTGGTCCCCCGGCATAGCACGCAGGCCAGGTCGCTTACGCGACACGCGGCGGCTCTTTAGCTGTTTCGGCCATCTCCGGGCCGCGAAACGGCTCTTGCCCCGTCCGAGCCTTCATTCTCTCTCTCCCCCTCTCCTTCTTCGTCTTCTTCCTCTTCCCGATCTGCCTCGTCCCTTGGTGCTGAGAGTTTCAGGGAGCAGGATGAACCATCGCCAGCCGGAGCATGAGCCCCTCGAGCATTTCCAAACGCCGCTTGCAGATCGCTTGTTGCGACATCAGTTCAATGAGGAGAGGCAGTTGCGATACGACATTCAGCAGGTGAACGTGCCAGCGCCCGGGGTTGCTGATCTGGCGGCATACTCGTTACTTTGTGATCGGCTGACGTATGCGGGGGTGTACGTGGACGTGACGCAGTTGCCTGGGCGGGAGGCGACTCGAGTGTTCATCGAGTTCCACGCGCGAGAGGTGACACCTAACTTCGTGCATAGCGTCGCCACCTTTATTGAAGACTTGACGATCCTGCCGCAGCCGAGTCGGGAGTTGGCGCGAAGCTTTGTGCGCGAATACGCAGTGCAGGCGGCCAGATCAGTGGCCAGAGTGCTAGGACAGGGAGGACATCGATTCACAGCCCACGAAGCGCTGTTACGCAGGGCAGAGGACGGACCAATTGCATTGGTGCCACAGCTCCCCTCGCTTCTTCCTCCCGCTGCCCCTCTCAACATCCAAGCTATTCCCTTGCCCCGTACTAAATGCCTGACTTCTTCTCTTACACCACTCTCCTCTATCAACTCACGGAGGGCCCTTATCCTATGCGCGAATTCTCGGAGTACTTGGTGGAGCTGACTGACGTGGAGCCGCTGCCCTTCGCAGACGAAGACGCGTGGGAATTGCACCGCGCGCTATGCAAGTCGGTGGTGTTGGGGATGTTCCAGTTCTTCGTGGATCACGAAGATCACTGCATCGGGGAACACTTCGTCGTTTATTACGTCATCACGTTGTCGAGCGCATCGGTTCGGCACCGCACAGGGCAGCGCGGGACCCTCCCGGCCGCGTCACGCAGGAGTTGGTTTAAATCCTTCGTCGTAAATATACATGTGGAGCTTTCGCAAGCCGCTCCAGCCGAGTGCGCCAGCCATACCTCTCGCGAGCCCCTACGACAGGATAGGGCCTACGCGAGGCACGACTTACCTCCACCTTACGGGAGCTGTCACCTCCCTTCGGTGGGCGTATCCCCGCCGAGCTACCAGTCCACAGTATGAAAGTTAATCAGTTGCAATCGCAGAGGTGGACCAACCGAGGGCGTTTTTCGTTCGCTGTAGCATAGGGGGCATGCGCGGTAATACGCCTCTATCGGACCCGCACGCGTACCGACATCTTGGGGGGCTAAACTCCCAAGCGCGGCCCGTCGTCGGTCGAGTAGGACGCATCCTACACACCACGCGCACACCACTTTTACGAACACAAAAAAAATAAAACACACACACACACACCCATTGAACAACGCGACAACACTCCTAGTCCCTTCAGTAGCCATCTCATAACTTTCCGGTGCGGAAATCGGATAGGCGTCGCGTGGGACACTTGATATAAAACCGTGCGGACGCAGGGCTAACTCATATCGACTCGCAATGCAAGCGTACACAAGCAGTCGCAATGATGGCGTACTATGTAGTACCCATGCTCATGCGGTCCTCGCTAATCTCGAGGGTCGCATTCGACACTCAAGTGTCGGCTCACACGAGCCTTGAGGGTTAATCTCTCGACGCTGGACAACCGCCAAGCGCGGTTGAAGACCACACACCCTCTTCCGCACTCTGTGCAGAATGGGTGGTACACAGGTCCGTACCTGTGGTGGCAGTCGTTTCTTACTGCCCTGGAGATGAGCCCCACTCCAGGCCTGGACAGAAGTCAAGGGGTTTGACTTTGACGACTGCCACGGACTATAACGTCCAACCATAAAGTCTCTAAGAAGCAAAGGATAAAAGGGGATCTTCCTTTTTTCTCACATCATAACCTAGTTAACCCTTGCGCACAGATACAGTAGGTCTTTCAAACATTCAGGGCACATATTGATATATATGAGGGTTGATTATATAGGACGATCACTTCTCACAGTCACAGTGGAGTCCCTCTCGACCATATATATACATATGTGAGCGCAGGCAGTCAAAATCCAAAGTCCGAATCACCCAAACATACCTGCAATCACATCAATGATCCAACAAAGAGTCAACGCGCTACACGGGGTCAACTTCAACCATTCTCTGTACTCATACCCCTTGCTTTAGCCATGCAAACCTCAACCTCTGTTCAACCTCCCCAGCAATAAAATACTCAGTAACCTTCGTTAAATGGCCATTCAATAAAGTCCGGGTAAAAGCACAACAAAACAGATCAAACCACAAGGCTAAAGCCTTTAGGTTGAGTGGCAAAAGTGAATTGGAGTTGAGTCATAAACCAACGAATCGGCAGTCGACTTGTTATCAGTGATAACAGAAGATGATCCTCAAGGGATCAAGCTGAATCTAGTCCTGATCTTGAATCAGACAATCCAAAGGACCTGTAACACAAGATAGGTGAAATGCCCAAGCTAAGTCATCAGCATATGGGGGATAAACCTCCATAGCACATTCTCACTCCAAGTTACCTGCCAACTAAGTCCAAGCCTACCTCTAAGCCAGTGTCCAAGCAGAGGTAGACTAATGGCAGAATCTCCTCTATTCAGGGTGGATTACAAAAACCGCCACCTGTCAAAATATAATCTAACTCTTCTAAATCAAGAAAAATTTTGGCAGCGCTTCCCGTAGGAAAAGTGTCCTTCCAAAACTTATATAAGTCCAAATATGAAAGCAAAAATAATCTTTAACCCTGGAAAGTCAAATTCTGTCCAACTCCCTGAATTAGTAGAAATTTGGGCAACACTCCCTTTAGAAAGGGAGACTTCCCAGATTTATACTAAGTCAGATTTGAACTCAAGAAGACAAACTTGAGTTCAACTTTAAATGAGATTTAACTAACTCCTTAGTTTTGGAGAAATTTCGGCAGCACTCCCTTTAGAGAAGTGCTCTTCCAAAATTTATACAAAGCTAAGTCCAAAATTCGAGAATAACTTTGACTTCTCAAAATCCAATTTTTGTTTAACTCCTTGAATTAGTAAAAATTTGGGCAGTACTCCCTTTAGAAAATGAGACTTTCCAGATTTTTAATAGGTCAAATATAAAGAAAAGATAAGTTGAACTTTGACAAGTCAAAAGTTGACTAACTCCTTGGATTTGTAGAAATTTCGGCAGCGCTTCCCGTAGAGAAAGTAGCTTGCCAAGATTTATACAAAGCCAAGTATAAAAAATGATCTCAGAAAATGCAAGAATTGATCTGAGTAAAAAAAAGTTACTACAAAAAATGCAGAAATTGAAACTAACTCCTATGGCTATAGCACGTGGCGAGCAGCTAAAGCAACTACCTATCAAACTGAAACTCAGACCAAGTGGTAACCTCATTCAGCCACATGTAGGCCAACCCACGAAGGTAAGTACTGTCACCATCCCCAAGTTAACTTAGCAAGCAAAAGTTCGTAGTCTTTCAATGATTTAACCTTTTATACCCAGCTTACATAAGGCATAAAGTCAGGCCACCCAAACTTATGGAATGCACCTAACTCAGCCATTGAATATACACAAAACAGAAGGCACAACCACTTTTCTCTTCTTTGGGCATATGACTAGACCATTCTAGTCGCCCTGAACTGTTTAAAGTATCCAAGTTATATATATCTGTCTTCCCCTTCGTTTTCTATGGCTACATATGATTGAACTAACTTAAGTTCATCCTGCCCCAGCTTACCATCAATTTTATTCTTAGTTATACTCTCTTTAAGTTGTGATACGGCTATAGTCAGACCACCTAAACTTATAGAACAGTCTGATTAGCTCGTTCCTAGATAGAATAGTAGTAAGGTATAGCCAAGTTATAACCATTGGGTTCCAGCATGTGCGAGGCTTTGAGGCAGACCCCCTGAACTTACAGAAGGATCTAACTCTCTGCCAGATTCGTTTCTATCTGAGTCATCATGTGTGTGACATCGAGTCAGACCCCCTGAACTTACAGAAGGATCTGCCCCTTTGCCAAGGTTATTTCTTCAGAATAAAGAGCAGGAAGGGACAGAGCCACCTGAACTTACAGAACAACTCTGTCCCCTCGTTCAAAAACCAAAGAAACTTTGAGGAAACCCAAAGAGAACAAGGCAACTCAGGGCACCAAAACTTATTGAGCGCGACGAGTCCCTGAAAATCAGGCACAATCAACCCCTCACAGGTCAGAGCAGCCAGACCACCTAAGCTTATAGAACAGCCTGACCCTCCATGCAGGCCACAACACTAGGTCTCCCCAAACTTATGGGGACATCCTAGCCTCCAGAGTAATCAGACCCCCTAAACTTATAGAAGGGTCTGACTTCTCCAAGCAAAACCATAATCAAACAAAGCACTGGGGTTCCCCAAACTTATGGGGATTCCCTTGCCTTAATGACCCGGTCAACCATCATGCAAATCCTCCCATCATCCTGCCCTTCCCTGATGTAGTTCTTTTCAACAGTCTGAATTCACACAATCAAACAAGGTTGAAAGTGAAACTTAACAGACATTTTTTTACTTAGTCTTGTTCAGTCTCATGGAAGTCAAACCAAAAATAAGGTAGGGTCGCACTCCATATAATCAGTCAGGGAGGCAATGGGTGATACAGGTAGGGGTTATGTCTGGGTTTATAGAGGGAAAGCAATGGTTACCTTTCAGTTCCCTGCCTCCAAAACTCCTCCTGAGTTCCGGCAGAGCTCCCGCAATCGGTGGGCTGAATCCCCACAGAGTCCTAATGCGGTCCTACGGGTTGCAATCCCGCCTCCCGCCTTCCCCTCATAACCAATAGACTAGACTTAGAATAAGAAGGGCAGAAGTAGAAACATTAAGACTCTCAGATCCAAGAATGGTGCGCTTAGACTCGCAGGAGAGGGCCTTGTTATCTCGATGCGCCTGAGGGCCCCGCAATGGCAGCCAATGTACCAGCTTGGTCAACTCTAATTCAGCCACTGAGGTCGCACGTCTGACGACTCCCCAGTCCTTCGCAATAATCCCCCTTCCAGAGGTTAGTTACCTCCCCAAACTCACCCGCCGTGGCACCGCAAACTGCGACAGTCAGCAATGATCACCGCGGTATGCAGTAGTACGCAGCGATCGACGGCAGGTGTCAGCAGTATGCGGCCTCCACCTGTTGGCCACAGCCTGGGAGCAATCAGGGGCCGCAGCTGCGCAAAGTCAACAGCAACAGTCCGCTTCTCAACAACAGCAAACAGTTGCTGTGCAGACCGCAGCAGTCCTGCCTTCCACCAGCCTCCCTCCAAAAGGCGCAATCTGCAGTTTCTCATGTGGACGAAGTCAACAGCGAGCAGGCCATGCACAACCGACCCTACCTCCTGGGCCCAACGTTATAGATCTGTAGCCCGTAGTCTGCAGCCTGGTAAACAGTTGTAGTCCACGCCCGGTCAGTAGTAGCAATAGCTATACACCGCGTGACAGCGGTATAAGCAGCAGTAACGACTGTGGCACACAGCGGCCCGCAGTCCACAGCAGTGAGCAGCGGCACGCAGCAGCATGCAGCGGTGCACCGTAGCATATAGCGGCCTATCCACAACAGCCCGCCGCCGTCAGCAAGCAGTACATAGCCAAGCATTCGGACTAAGATCTGTCAGATCGCCATTCAGCAGGCACTGCAGCAGCAACGCCCGACTAGCAGGTACCATAAGGCAAGTGCTCTAACTCCGTAGTTGGCTCCCCTGCCATTCCCTTAACCAACTAGAGCTTGCGGGAATGGAACGAATCTCCGCAGATACATCACCGCCTGCTGCGTGAGGTAAGTACCAAGTCGATAGGATGGGCAACATTCAAGTAGATGTTCTGTCAAAATATGCTGGATGCACGGCTTTCCACAGGAACTCCTGCCCCTCTCACAAATCCGCTCTTACCATCCCGCTAGCCTGTGTACACAACGGATCGGCTTTCGGTTCACCCCACATCACCAGTCCTGCCTCCGTAGGCCTGTCCCAATCAGCATGGCGCAAGTATGCCAAGCAACCCCACTCAGCTGCTGCATTCGCACTGCTGCTCCTTCCTTATCGGTGTACGCAGATCGGCCTTTATCTAGTGTTACTCGTCAGCTGCCTGCCTGCTATGATGGCAGAACAGGAATGAATCTCCCCGTCAAGTCAGGGAGGGTTCAAACCGCTCTCCGTATGCCTGCTATCTGCGCCCAAGGTCGAGGGAGAACACCCTGGACTTGTCGCTTAAAGGAGGACACGACGAGCAATTAATTAGCAGGCAGCGAGGGGAACGAGCTCCATCGCAACACAGGTGAGTCCGCCCCCGCGGCTTGGCTCCTTCCATACGATCAGTTCGTTCACCCAAATCATCAAGGTAAGTTTTTTCCTCCCCCTTACCCTTTCTTTTCCTTTTCCTCTCGCATCCACCTCGACTACTCCCGCTCGTTACCCGACCCGCCAGTTATGCAGAAAAAGAGAATTTACGAGATGGGAATGAATCTCCCGCAAAAATGCGGGTAGGTTCATTCACTGTGACTCAGAAACTGTCCCCCCCATATCACCTAAACCGTCGCACAAACAGAGGATCCGCCGCGACCCGACAAGTCGCAGCACCTCAAAACACTAGTGCATTATGTTAGTTCGCCCGTTTACGTGAAGAATCGGGGCGAATTTTTTTCGACTCCTGCCCGGCCATAGCCACGTTCCCGACGTTCTCACGCACCCCTTTTCTTTACTAACTCTATTTCTACACATCTAACCCCAAATCTAACCACATATCTGGGGTCGCCATGGCCAAAACCCCCCATTTAGCCTCTTAGCTCGTCTAAATCGGTCAAGGAATGACCGATTTATTCAATCTTGCTCCTTATCCTATTCTCCTCCCGCCATAGCTCCGCGCTCCTACCTCTCTACTAACCTCTCTTTTTACTACTCTAGAACTAAAACTAACATCACTATCGACTTCGCCCGAGGTAAAACCCCCAATGTTACCTCCTCCCTTGCGCAAAACCGTTGAGGAACGAGGGAGGCAGATGTTTTTTTCCCTCGCCATAGCCATTCTCACATGCCCGCATGCATCCGGCGCGACTTCGCGCCTCGATTCACCTTTCTGTTTTTTTTTTTGTTTTCTGCTCGTAGTCTACGTCCTCCCTCTTGCGCCCGCTTTGCCTCTGCCGCTGCCTACCTCACTTCTCTCTTCACCGCGCACTAACTTTCTTCCTTCATTCTCCACGCCGGATGTACCTGGAGCCCCCTGCGTCCAGGTTCCTTCCCATTTCCCGGCTGCTCGTCACCCCTGTCTGTGTTCCGCCTCGCTGCTGCACAGCTCCGCCCGACTAGTCTCCCTGCCCTGTCACTCGTCTTCCTAGTACTAACGCCCGCTGCTTGCCGCTGCTAGCGCAGTGGCTGTCGTTTGCTTTGCCTTACCCGCTGCGCTATCCTCCCGCATCTCTCTGCTGCTACCCGTCACCGTTTGGCCAGCCCCTCCGCCCACTGCGACCGATATCGGCCAGACTCCAGCCATCTAGAGGGAGACCTCGGAGGGAACCAGCTACTGCGGTTCGATTAGTCTGTCGCTCCTATACCCAAGTCCGACGGCCGGCCCATACACAACAGTGGCGGCCCTCGCAGCATTTCCAGGCGCCCTGCCTAAGTAGAGCCGCCTCCCCCTTTCGGGTTCCCAACGGGCGGCTCACACAGACTTCGGCCACAGTTCCAGGGCGCGGGCTGCAAGCCCGTAGCACGTTCTCAGGTGCCGCAGGCCCTGGCGCCGACCTTAGGGGTAGTAGCCATTGTTCGGATGCGGACTTTAGAGGACCCAGGTGGGAGAAAGGCTCCGCGCGGCAAATTTTCTGCAGCCCGCGGCACACCCTGATGCATGACCCACCCCCCTTTCTGCGCCTCACGGGCACGCACACCCTCAGCCCCTTACGACAGATCACAGCGGGTGGTCGGCACACCTACAAAAGGTCCGTGCCACCTGGATTTTCTCCTTTGCGTGGGCTAACCACCCCTTCGGCTCATATGCACGTCGAACCCCTCGGTCCGTGTTTCAAGACCAACAAGGCCGAGGGAACTTTGCCGGCATTTCAAGCCCGCTAGAATCCGCAAGTCAACCAAGCGAGGTGTGCGCTCAAGGTCCTCAACTCCCGCGGCGGCCATCCGTGGCCGGTGTCATGCCCTGCTTACGAAAAGCCAAAGCATAAAGTTACATAAGTCAGCAGCAAATAATAATTAAAAAAAAAAAAAAAACTAAGAAAAACAACCGCTGGCTCCGTCCCGGCTCCGCCGATGGCAAAACCAAGGGGGACAGCCCTGCCGAACCTTCGATGTC